CTGGGCCCCTCCCCTAGATCTGCCACTGTTATGTGCAGAGAAAGCATAATTAATTTGTAATAGACTCACTTTCCGGAACCCATGAACATCAACAGGAATATTGCATGACTATCATCAACAGGAATATTGCGTGACTAGCAATATTGCAAGACTATCCTGTATTGGATACTGCATTATGCAATACCTCTCAGGATTACATAATCTACTTATCAGTACTTTACTTGTTTCACATGATTATCCATAGTTTTAACTTCATTTTTTTGCCATTGTTTGTTTGAATTCTGTCAGTTAAGTTTTGTTTTCTGCTTTCTATTGCATTGCTAGTTTTGGCTAACATTTGAGTGTCTGAGTTATTTTTCTGAAGGGTTGAGTTCAGCTGGACTCGCTGCAGATTGTAAGTTTGTTTTATTCCGCTATCAGTTCTGTGGTTATATTTTTGTACTTAAATATTTTGTCTTTGTTTATTTTCAGTTGAATCGCATCCACTCACTCACACATGCTTATGTTCACACTGATTAAACTACTGTGTATTCGAATTGTGGCATTCCTTTATCTGTAGCATCTACCTACAACACCAACCAACATCAGCCATCATTCTCTCACTTGAAACCCCTAACGAAAGAAGTTCTGAAAGAGAACACCAAAGAAACAGCTGGTGATACGACACTGCTGCCTAAACATAGTTGATGGAATCCACCTTGAAGGAAACAGAATGGAAAGTTCAAGCTCAGGGTTGCTGATAAGCTGCTCTTAATTGCCTCTGTAGCAAAGGGCCAAAAGCTAAGTAACAACCTTACACCAGTACCGGTCAGCAGCACTTGGTTAGTTTGATTATCCATGTGACTCATTATGTGGCCTTGTGTGTTGTTGTCGGCCATTCTGTTGTATGTGTGTTAGATTTATCCATTAAATAAACTAGCTACTACTAGCACTATGTACAGGAAATGAAGCTGAGAGAACCCTAAGGTACTCCAAGGTGCCCAAGGCACCCCTTGTCAACCACCCACCCCTGTCCCCCAAAACAAGCAAAATGGACTTTTCATTTTCAATTCCTTAATTACACTCCTCACCCCCACCCCTCCAGGTTTATTGGTAGGTGAAAAAGGATTTAAAGGAACTCAAAGTTTGACTCACCAATATTACATCCTCTCATGTCCACAAGCTTCAAATCGTACTTTGTCCTCTGTAAACAGTAAGCAAGAAGAACTGCTTTCGGTTCATCAAAACTTGAGACATTCTGCAGAACAAGATGTTGCATTGGCCAGTTTGTGATCAGACTTCTTAAACAGAGCATCCTCGACTTGGAAATTGAGGTTAAGAGAAGTTCTTGCAGGACAGTTCTAGGTAATGTACTCAAGTCGCATCCGTCCACGATGCATCCGTCCTGAATAACGGCAGAGGCAGATAGTTTTACCAGCGAACTGGCCGACATCTTGGATTTGGCAACTGAACGGAGGACTGAGAACAAATTTTCGTTTTGTCCTCAGGGCCTTCTCTTCGACGATTTTCAAAACAGCGGCTTGTCGTTTTGAAAAGTGGAGAAGGCCCTGGGGACGAGGTTGGTCAAAAGGGGTCAAAGGTTGGTCACGAGACTATGTCGTGACCAAGAAAAAAAACAAGGCTCGAAAACCAGAGATCGATTTGTTTTCATATTTGACAGTATAGCAGAAATTGTTTCCAGCTGAAAATAGCAAAGGTGACAATCCATACGTTGAATCCATACATCATCTGTAAAGTATCTTTTCATGTGTTTGTCGGACTTTCCCGACGGGTGTCTGGAAAACCCTAATAGCGAATAGCGAATAGTCGCGAATAGCGAATAGCGAATTAATAGTCCCGAATAGTGCGAATAGTCTCGAATAGTGCGAATAGTGGCGAACAGTCGCGAAAAGTGACGACTAGTGACGAATAGTCGTCAATAGTCACCGCTTTAGATCTAATATCCAGCAATAAGCAACAGAATTTGAGTGAATTTATTACTTTTTCTTCTACGGACTCAGGCTAGCAGGCTGTCCATCGCCGACATTACGAAAATAGAAAACACAAGGATGACCTAATAAAGACGTATTTACGCTTTTGCAGCGGTTACAAAGAATAAATTACGTTTAGAAACATCTTTTGTCCTGATAAGCGTCTGTGCTTTTTAGCCCGAAAATCCCATCCTAAGTTGCTACGAGGTTGACTGCGAGATACTGGGTACCCTATTTGCTACTATTCGCCACTATTTGCCACTATTT